ATGGTTATGTAACAAGTATTATACTACTTATGATGTATATACTTAATTAAATATTAAGTGATATAGAAAATTACTTCTAAGTTAAAACTATAACTAGAGTATATGAATATTAATGACCCTTGTAAATAACCTTGTAGATCTTAAATTGTGATAATGACCACTACTGTTTTTAAAACTAATATTTAGAGAGTTTTTTACCATTTTAGATTTTAAGAACATATAAACTATATATGAAACCACACAAGTACATAATTTTACCCATTATCAATACTGAATAGTAATTCATAATACTTTCTTTTTTCTAAGAGAATTTTACAAACAAACTACATTTTGCTTCTGATAAACTAGTATTTTATCCATTTTAAAATAAATGTCAAATTTTGTTAGCTCACGTCAGTCTGAGTATGTATAGTGTAAATACAAGTTCCTGTTTTTTTTTAATTTTGTCCTATTCTAACTCTGTTACTATTATTATTTAAATTTTAACTAAAACATAAAAAAAAAAAAAAAAAAAAAAAAATGTAACAAAAATTTTTAATAACGAATTCTTAAAAATAATTTTTTTTTTAAATGCGGTGACCCTGAGGTCAATTTTACCTAGGGGGACTGTAACTTAAACATGACAAAACCTTCTGCGGTCAATTTTACCTAGGGGAACTGTAACTTAATCAAGGCAAAACCTTCCGAGGTCAACATTGCCTAGAGGAGTTCTAACTTAAACAAGACAAAACCTTCTGAGGTCAACATTGCCTAGAGGAGTTCTAACTTAAACAAGACAAAAACCTTCTGAGATCAATTTTACTTAGGGGGACAATAACTTAAACAAGATAAAATCTTCTGAGGTCAATTTTACCTAGGGCGACTGTAACTTAAACAAGACAGAATCTTTTGAGCTCAACTTTACTTAGGGGATATGTAACTTAAAAAAGACAAAATCTTCTGAGGTCATTTTACCTAGGGGACATAACTTTAACAAGACAAAACCATCGGAGGTCATTTTACCTAGGGGAACTACCTTAAACAAGACAAAACCTTCTGAGGTCAATTTTACCTAGGGGGAACTACCTTAAACAAGACAAAACCTTTTGAGGTCAATTTTACCTAGGGGGAACTACCTTAAACAAGACAAAACCTTCTGAGGTCAATTTTACCTAGGGGGAACTACCTTAAACAAGACAAAACCTTCTGAGGTCAATTTTACCTAGGGGAGCTGTAACTAAAACAAGACAAAACCTTCTGAGGTCAACTTTACCTAGGGGAACTGTAACTTAAACAAGACAAAACCTTCTGAGGTCAATTTTACCTAGGGGAACTGTAACTTAAACAAGACAAAATCTTCTGAGGTTAATTTTACCTAGGGGATCTGTAACTTAAAACAAGACAAAACCTTCTGAGGTCAACTTTACCTAGGGGAACTGTAACTTAAACAAGACAAAACCTTCTGAGGTCAATTTTACCTAGGGGGAACTACCTTAAACAAGACAAAACCTTTTGAGGTCAATTTTACCTAGGGGGAACTACCTTAAACAAGACAAAACCTTCTGAGGTCAATTTTACCTAGGGGGAACTACCTTAAACAAGACAAAATCTTCTGAGGTCAATTTTACCTAGGGGAGCTGTAACTAAAACAAGACAAAACCTTCTGAGGTCAACTTTACCTAGGGGAACTGTAACTTAAACAAGACAAAACCTTCTGAGGTCAATTTTACCTAGGGGAACTGTAACTTAAACAAGACAAAATCTTCTGAGGTTAATTTTACCTAGGGGATCTGTAACTTAAAACAAGACAAAACCTTCTGAGGTCAACTTTACCTAGGGGAACTGTAACTTAAACAAGACAAAACCTTCTGAGGTCAACTTTACCTAGGGGATCTGTAACCTAAACAAGACCGAATCTTCAGAGGTAAACTTTACCTAGGGAAACTGTAACTTAAACAAGACAAAACCTTCTGAGGTCAATTTTACCTAGGGGAACTGTAACTTAAACAAGACAAAATCTTCTGAGGTTAATTTTACCTAGGGGATCTGTAACTTAAAACAAGACAAAACCTTCTGAGGTCAACTTTACCTAGGGGAACTGTAACTTAAACAAGACAAAACCTTCTGAGGTCAATTTTACCTAGGGGGAACTACCTTAAACAAGACAAAACCTTTTGAGGTCAATTTTACCTAGGGGGAACTACCTTAAACAAGACAAAACCTTCTGAGGTCAATTTTACCTAGGGGGAACTACCTTAAACAAGACAAAATCTTCTGAGGTCAATTTTACCTAGGGGAGCTGTAACTAAAACAAGACAAAACCTTCTGAGGTCAACTTTACCTAGGGGAACTGTAACTTAAACAAGACAAAACCTTCTGAGGTCAATTTTACCTAGGGGAACTGTAACTTAAACAAGACAAAATCTTCTGAGGTTAATTTTACCTAGGGGATCTGTAACTTAAAACAAGACAAAACCTTCTGAGGTCAACTTTACCTAGGGGAACTGTAACTTAAACAAGACAAAACCTTCTGAGGTCAACTTTACCTAGGGGATCTGTAACCTAAACAAGACCGAATCTTCAGAGGTAAACTTTACCTAGGGAAACTGTAACTTAAACAAGATAAAACCTTTTGAGGTTAATTTTACCCAGGGGAGCTGCAACTTAAACTAGACAAAACCTTCTGAGGTCAATTTTACCTAGGTGAACAGTAACTTAAACAAGACAAAACCATCTAAGGTCAACTTTACCTAGGGGAGCTGCAACTATAACGACAAAACCATCTGAGGTCAACTTTACTTCAAACAGCTGCAAGTCAAGACAAGAAATAAAATTCTAGTCAAATTATCCTATGGGAGCTACAACTTATACTAGGCCAAACCGTCAAAACATTCTGAGATCATCAACTTTTCTTCAGAGCTGCAAATAAATAAGAAGCAAACCCTTCTGATATCAATTTTAATACAGGTGAAATAAGGTAATGCCATCTAATTTCAACTTTAAAAAAGTAAGAGCGCCAGAAAAAAATAAGACAAACCCTTTGAAAATCTACATAGTGTTAGATATTACGTTGTGTACTAGTATGTGTCCAACTGATTGGCTTTGCCCGTGTCTGTAGTGACGTTTTGGATTTAAATTGTCGTAATCTATGTACTACTGGTAAATTATTACGTCAAGGATTTCGTTACCACAGATAACTTGAAACTCTTACTAAATCCTTTCATAGAAACATAGTTTTAGTTTGGAAGTTTAGCTGTACCTAATTAAAAATTAAAACAAACGGGATAGCACATCCAAATTTTTAGTGGTGTTATTTACCGGGCATGCAAATTCAGACACGATCTGGATAAACTTATTGATCCTTTAAATAAACTTACTTTAAATAGTTTAATCAACACTGTTATTAGATCTTTGAATATTGTTTTTATCAGTATAAATATTGATTTTGTTATTAATAAATTAAAACCCAACTAAATATTATTGTTATACGCATATGTACATTCACCTTCCTACAATCTGTCGATGCCTATATTTTGGCAATGCACAAGGTCATCTTTTTCTCAAACTGTTAATGACGTCTTTACACTGGGTTCATCGGAAGTTGGATGTGTACTGATTGATATTTTAGTCTTAGATACATGATTTTTTTATTAGTTTTTATTGGCTTTCAGTAACTTAGTGTACTCTCAGACCTGTATTTTGTGTCTTGTTGTTGTAAGATGTTTTTGTGCTTTGTATCGATCTGATGAGTTAAGCCCTTTTTAACTGATTTTCATAACTGGTTCTTAAGTTGTGCTGTTATACCACTGACCAGGGTTAGGGGAGGGTTGGGGCCCCAGAAACATATATAACCCACAACATTCTGTATGTGCCTGTCCCATGTCAGGAGCCAGTAATTCAGTGGTTGTTGTTTGTTGCTGTATATCAAATTTTTTTCGTTTGTTTTGTACAGGCTGTTAGTTTTCTTTTCTGATTTGTTTTACATTTGTCATTTCAGGGCCTTTTGTAGCTTCCAATGCTGTATACATTTTGCTCATTGTTGAATACTGTATGGTTACCTATAGTAGATAACCTTCTACGTCATTTGGTCTCTGGTGGAGAGTTGTCTCATCAATCATACCACATCTCCCTATTTTTAATAACCAAAGGGAGTTGTAACTTTGGGTAAAATAAGATAGGTAATGAAACAAATTTTTTCATCAGGGTTTGTTCTTAACTTGAGTATGTTAAACTTGGAAGTAAAAATAGAAAAATATAATACATTTATCTCTTTCCTATTTGAAACATAACTAAATGATTTCTTTACAGGGCAACACATTATATCTATTTTGACGTTTTGTGGTATTTATTCACCACTCTGACAGATGATTACACAAAAATGAAGTCAGTGACCCTAAGACTATTTTATATTATTATAAAATTGATTTTTTTTTTGGAAAACAACATATTGATTTTAAGAAAAATCTATGGAAGGGTGTTGAAAAAGGAATTCTATACAAGATTTTTACCTATTCTAAGGATTTACTCTCATTAAATTTAATATTTAAGCAAATATTGCAGTCAAGTGAATTATTTTTGCAACATGTTTTTACAAAAGAGTTGAACATGTCAAATTTGTATCTACAATTTTTTAAAATTCTATAGACGTAGCAATTAACTTTTCCTTAACCTCAAGTTTTACAAATTTACAAAGTTTGATCAGCTGGTAATTCATCCAAATGTTTGTCTTAAAATCAAGAAATTTTACTTCTTGGCAATTTAGATGTCTGTGTGCACGTTTTGTTTGTTTCTGACAAGTTGTATTTGGTTTAAGGATGTGTAATTTGAACCAGTGAAATTTCCTGTTTTGCTTTCGAAAACCTTGGAACCAGTATTTAAGTTTAAATATGAAGATGCATATACCTGCTAAAATTACTTCTGTCTGGACTGAAGATTGCAGAAATGAAATAATAGATGCACTAATTTTTTTCTATTCTGTTCTCTGAATTCATTGGCTGATAAATATAAACAAAATAACAAAATAACAGGACATAAATTGTTTATTGACCAGGCTACATATAAATGATCTGGGATCTCATAGCAAAAATATCTACCGCGCATATATAGCAACCAGACTGGAATCCAGTCCACCGTCGAGCCATTTATTATCTGCCCTTGAAAACTAGTCAGTAAACTGAAATATAATACATCTAAGCTGACTAGTAAATGTTATAAACCTTAAAAGATCTGTCAAAACTTTGCTACTTCAATAGTGCAATGCTACAAATATCTAAATCTCTCCTACTTTAGCCTGTTCTTCAGAAAATGCTAAAAGTAATATTTTTTGTGATTAAATAAAAGATGTAATATTCCCAAAAAGATTTGGATTTCCACCCATATTTATCATAATGTAAGAAATCCATCCCTCTTTCAAACTATATTTGCAACATTTCTTCTCACATTTAGACAATTTCTAAAACTTTATCTTTTTTGTTTTGTATTTTTATGATAATAAAAAAAAAGAAAGAACATCAGATGTTTTTTTCTATAAGAGTTGGGGCGAGACTAAATTTACTCCATTAACAAACGAAAGAAAACATAATAACAAATATATATGGCACAGGACTTGATCACAATAAGACAAAAGTGGCTTGAGATCAATTTAAGGAGCCTTATGTCTTTCTGATGTGTATTTTACAATTTTTAATCTTGACCCACCTCACACCTGTTTTAGAAAGAGGTAGCATAGAACTTGCTACTTCATAAAGATCTTTTAAGGTTTAAAACAAAACTCAAACTAATGAGTGTGATGGTTTACCAACAAAAAAATTGAGTTTATTCTGACTAATCACAATTGAGGTAAAGTTGTCAATAATCAATACTGACCAATCAAATCTTTACATTTACACCAATGTGATCAATGTACATATGACAACAGTTAGTCCAAAGACATTTTTATATCATTAACAATTTTTACAGAAACAATATCAACAAATGTATTTTTTTTTCTCAAAATTTTCCAAGATTATAGAGAAAGATAAAGCATCCTTAAAACAATATTAAAAGATTATGATTTGTTTTCATGATGAGCTAAGACACATTTCATTGATATTAGTTAAATTTAAGTGAGACTGTTTTTATGCATGGTTAAAATGTGTTTAAAGAAATAAAACTGACAATATAGACAGTAAAAGATATGAAAAAAAAAAAAGTAATTCTATTTATAAAAATAGAGAGTTAAAAATAAATTCTTTCTTTCTAAAATCTGAAATACTATTGAGATCCAGGTGAAAATTATAGTTCTTCTCAAATTACATACCACCTGAATATATTACAATTTAAAAGCTGCACTTTTTTTAAAGACATTAACAAAATACTTAACACAAAATAATAATCTAGCACTTCAAAATCACATAGCACTGACATTATTTTTTATGGAACAGTACAAACTTCCTACAATTGACATCTATGTATATATAAGCTTGTTTAAAAATCATAACTGGTCAAAAGTTCTAGCCCCAAAAATCAAATATTTCTAGTTAACATTTTCTAATTGGTGATCTTATAATTTGTAACCAAGACCATTTTAGACTGTTAAGGTAAGAAAAATTAGAAACAATGTATCTTAACAAAAATCAAAAGTATAAAAAGGCAATGATCGAAAAACCTTTTCTTTCAACTTTAAATTTACTATAAAACTTTTTGTGAAGTTGAAAAATATTTTTACAAACTTCTGCATTATATGCAAGTGAATTAGTAATGAATACAGTAAAAGATCACTCATACATGAAGCCAGAGTTCATACAAGTTGCCCTTCTCCAAAATCATTGGCAAGACAGAATGTGGTCAAGTACACGGCCAAGAACCTATGTAGCCAAAATTTTGGCATACATATCAATAATACAGTATTTCTGCTCTATATGTATGCACATACTATTCAATTCTACATTCCATCTTTTGTGTTAAAAAATCTTAACTATCACAAAAACAATCACATAGAAACAAATATAGCACTAAAGTTACACGAAATAGTTAGTCATAGATAGTTATCTGTTTTACAGTCATTCTTAAATCTTTTAACATTTAAAAAAAATAAAAATAAAATTCAAACTAGGAAGTTATAAATAGATAAAACAATATGGCTGCTACAAACTTCTTTCAATCTTAGTATTGTCTCATTGATGAGAAAGAATAGACGTTTTCACAAAGATAAAACTAAATGTGTTAAATTATACATCTGACACAAATTTTATTGCAACAGCCAAATAGGAGAAAAATCTTCTGATAAAAAAAAGAAAAAATTATTTTTATCGAATATTCATCCTGATGTGAAACTTTTAAAAGAAATGAAAGCGAAATTTCAGTTTTCTCGAAAGTTAAAAGCTTCACTCTTATGACATACTCTTGATATAAAATCCATTTACATCATTAGATAAACAAATGACTGCAAAACAAATGGTTAATAAAAATATTTGTATAACACTCAAAGAATTTATATCAATAATATTCTCAATTTCACAAAGACACAATATTATATTTTTGTCAATTTATTTAAATTCCTTCAAAAAAGATATGCACTCTTGGATGCAGAAATAAATACAACCTCCCTGACACACCCCTGTCAAAAGCAATCACATTGCGACCTCTTCCCTGCCCTACTACAAAATGACAATCTGATATATAGTTATATACAATATATATATTTGTGTATCTACAAAATGAAATAAAGAAATATATTTTAATGTCACCTGACATGACAGAAATCTTGGGATTAATATCTGAACCAAAGACCATGAAAAGAGACATATCAGCTCATACAATGTAGTAAGCTATTAATAGCTCCCCTATCACAATGTATTGCTCGATGAATTATTTAAAAAGGAAAGGCACCAACTTTCTTTAACTAGACCATTTCAGAGAAGGAATTCTAGAATATCTGAGGAAATTATATCTTGGAAGTTTGAGAAATTCATGTTTTTTTCAAAAATATTCTTGAGTTACTTGTGACCTCAAATTTGATTTTTGTTAACAAGTTTTGATTTCAAATATTGCATATGTCCATGGACTTACGTGACTTACAGATAATTGAATCTGGACTGATCTGCATTGACTTCTATCAAAAAAAAATTTGAACATATGGATATGATGTCTTTCTTTCTTTATTTTTTCAGTATTTTATCTTTTTTACCTTTGCAATTTTCAACACCTAAATAAATCAAATATTTATTCAACTAATTAACATCAATTTACGAAATTTTTATTAACATGCACCGGTATATAAATTAACAATTACTCTTCGTTATAATTTGAATTTTCCTCTCATCTTGTACTACCTGAATTCTCGATATTTCTCGTAAAAAACTGATATTATTACAACTTTAAAAATTTATACTCATTTTTCATCACTTCTCTGTATCAACACAACAGTTAGTTAACTACAAGTGACAAATAGTGTTCACTTGAGTGGCAGCTTGTCACTCGACATATATTTTTAGTTCTCCAAGATAGGAGTAACTCATGCAACACATAGAGAACAATGTCAATTTCATTGACTAAAATGTGGCATATCAAGATTTTTGTGGCAACTCATTTGGATTTAAGTTAAGATCTAAGACTTCTTTCATAAGTGGCTGTATAACTTCTGGATTTACTTTCAGAAGCACATGCGAGTGCTCTTCATTCAAATTCCTAATGTCTGTCAATTTCATCAGCAGCTTTGGATAAATACTGCGTACAAAATGAGGAGGATACCTAGATTCTAGGTATCGTAACAGTAACAGAGCATATTTATCCTGTTCTTGTGAAATGTATGACTTGTCTGTAACATTTGGCCGATCGGGTGAAAATAACGAAATAACAAGAAGAAGCATTAGCATTGTTTCATCTGCTTTCAAGTCTATGGCAAGTTGTTTTGTGAATTTCATGTGTTCTTCAAACAAGTTGGGACCTTCAGCTAACCTCATCTGTTCTGTGGTCATAGCATGATCTGAGTTATCCAGTGGGTCAAGCCACTGCTGTTTTTCCTTATCAAATGTTATAACAGAGCGCAAGATCAGTAATTCAATACTACCACCTTTAAGTAAGCTGATCTGATCTAACTGGGACAGAGCCTTGAATGACTTTATCTTCTTGGCCATGTCAATTACTCGACGTACGCTGAGCTCTGCAATATTTACTAGATCGCCAAATGATGGTCCATCTTTCCTTACTGGGGGTTCCATACATACTTCCAGGGACTGTCTGTATGCAGATACAACCTCACCAATCAGATATTCCTCTTCAGGTTCCAGTGACCTCATTTTAAACTGCGTAGAGCTGACAACCCCAGACTGAGGGCTAACCTGTGATGTATCATCCCTCATTTTTCTGAAACAAAAAAGGCATTTATTTAATTAGACAGCAAGTAAACAACACAATAAAAACAGAATCAACAGGATAACATAAAATATAGACAATATGAATAAAAGGAGATGAGGGTCATATATCAATCACACAGCAACCACACAAAAACAACAAAAACAAAGGACATCCATGTATCTTAATCATATGTCAAGCTCTAAATCTGTCAGTCAAGTTACGTTGTTCCTTAATTGACTGATTTCGAAAGATCTGCCACAAACAGCAAATTCATCAAAAGAAAAACAAAAAATGGAAATTGTTACTTTTTTATGTATGGTCATTTTTGACTGTGTGAGGAAATAATATATATTACTTAATCAAGATTTTTATTATATATTGTATCTTTGTATGGAAGTCATCATTTTTGTTATTTTGTAGCCGATTTGGAAGTCATAATTTGTATTATATTATAGCTGTGCAATGAAGTCACCATTTTTATTATATTGTGTCTGTGTATGGAATTCATCATTTTTGTTATATTATATCTCTGCATGGAAGTCACCGTTCTTTTTATTTTGTATCTATGTATGGAAGTCACCATTTTTATTATATTGTATCTGTGTATGGAAGTCACCATTTTGTTATATTGTATCTGTACATGAATGTCATCATTTTTGTTATATTATGTCTGTGCATGGAAGTCACCCTTTTTATTAAATTGTATCTGTGTATGGAAGTCACCATTTTTATTATTATATTATATCTATGTATAGAAGTCATAATTTTTGTTATATTGTATCTGGACCATGGCTTCCAAAACAGTCATATATTCCGGACATTTATAAATTTACCGGACATTGTCCTTCTGGGAAAAGCATCTACTTTTGGTTTTCAAGGCTTCCTTAAGAGATGGACATTTTAACATAATTAAAAAAAAGTGGAAGTTAGATCTTTTTGACCCGACCTTTTGCCTTAAACAGTCACACATTTCCGGTCATAAAAATGACATGATGATTAAGTACTATCAAAACAAACCCTACTTTAATACCTTATCATTTTAATCAAGGTTAATTAGTTGTCGGACAGCTGAAATTTACCTGTTCAGGCGACAGGTAAACTATTATGTACCGGACATTGATCGGTCTATTCAAAGTTATTTTCTTACATTTAAGCGGTTTGCCTCTAATTAATTTAGTCTGAAAGATTAAAATTGTCAGAAAAACGTTTATAAATATGATTTGATGAAAAATTTAAAAAGGTTTTAAACGAAAAATCGTCAGAACCACGTTGTTTGAACTAGTACACGAGTGCGCAGGTGGGAAATTTAATTATGCATCCTAATTCTACAATAATGATAAAATTATCATTGATACCTTTATCTGACGTTCAGTTCGAGTATTTTCTTGAAGAAATAACGTGGAAACAGCTATTTAAACTCAATCGTGCTTTGTAAACGTATCCGGATTTTACGTATCCGTCTCTGGTCCATGTTTTACCATTGTCAAGTCAATATCCAGTATTAGGAAATGTGCTTTTAAAAACGAAAGTAAAGTTTTTGACCACGTTATTGTGCACAAATATAGAGTCTAAGGCAGATATTAGGACGCTGATGTTGCACACTTCGAATGATGCACTGTCAATTTAACATTTTACGTCAGAACATCAAGTTTATATCAAAGTAAAGTTTAATATCGTTTTTTAATGTCAATCATTGGTTATATGATGGCCAACTGATTACCATGGTCCATAATTGCCTTTTGTTATTAAGACTTAAGGGATTAAAATCAGGATAAGATATAAAATGTCCGGCTGGCTCAAATATTTTTTGGAAGCCCTGATCTGGACATGGTTGTCATCATTTTTGTTATATTGTATCTGTGTATGGAAGTCACCATTTTTATTATATTGTATCTGTGTATGGAAGTCACCATTTTTATTATATTGGATCTGTGCATGAAAGTCACCATTTTTATTATATTGTATCTGTGCATGGAAGTCATCATTTTAATTATATTGTATGTGTATGGAAGTCACCATTTTTATTATATTGTATCAGTGCATACAAGTCAAATTTTTGTATTATATTGTGTGTGTATGGAAGTCATGATTTTTATTATATTGTATCTGTGCATGGAAGTCATCATTTTTGTTATAGTTGTATCTGTGCATGTGAAATATTCTTAAACATGAAATCTTCAGTGCGAGAAACTTGATTCTAAATTTAATATTCCCCTCTTTAGGAAAATAGCGATGGTTTACTAAAATAATCTTATGACATTTACAGTAAAATAATTATCTTTAGTTAAACAGTTGTGTATTCTACAATAAAAAGCCATTTACAGCACAACAGTTATGTAATCCAATTCAAAACATGTAGGCAATCTACAGCAAAACCTAGTTATATTATCTTAACATGTCTTTAGGCATCTCTACTTTGATGATAATGGGTAAAATCATGTGTCTAATCAACAAGTGTCTTCTTAATTCAAAGAACAAGATATTTCTAATTAAGATATAGAGAAAGGAGATATTTGCACCATCATTATTATTATAAAGATATAAATCCAATGAAGAAGTATATTTAGGTTTTGCTGTAGATATATTAAGTTCCTTAACTCTTACAATTTCTGATTGTACCTATTCTCTTCAATCCTTTGTCTCTTTCTAATTTTTTCTTCTTCTGTTAATATGTACTCTTTTCTCATACCAATCTCAAAGCACTTTCTCAATCGGCATCTTTTACAGAATCGTCTGTTTGACACATCCATTTTACATTTCTCTTCATATGGACATTTAAAATAATCCTACAAATAGAAAATAAAATTATTCAATAATTTAATTTTACCATGTCTTAATTTCTGTTGTCTATACGATATATAAATGTAAAAACTCATCATTGATACCAAGCATATAAATTGGTATGTCAGACCTGCATTTCATCTACATAAGACTTTTCATTGGTGCCCAAATCTAAACAGCTGGAAGATCAAATCTTAAAACTTACAATATACCAATGACAAGCTCTTTATTGTCAGTAACACAAAACTAACACATTCAATGTATACATTATTTTGTTTCAACTATGTGTCAAAAATATGTACCTCATGTTTGCAGCTGCATTCAGGTCGAATAATCTTATACATAACTTAAAAAAAAAAGCACAAGATTGCAAAATGTTTTGTCAACAACTTTCACACTTATGTCATCCATTTATGTGCTGGTGTCATTTCTTTTCACAAAAATAACAAAATTTAGTCAGAGAGAAAAAAAAATTGTATGAAAATTTCTGCTGAAAACAGTTTATTGCTATCAACACATGTATTTTTTTTTTATAACTTTGAAAATGATGTACAGTACAATTTTCTAACAGGTTAGTTGTTAAATATAGTAACAGAATGTGGAATCATGGGCCATGTTTGCAGCTGCATTTAAGTTGAATAATATTATACATAACTGAAAAAAAGCATAACAGTTCAAAATGCTTTATCACCAACTTTCACACTTATGTCCTGATGTCCTCCATTTTTGTGCTAGTGTTGGAAACAAAAACATGGATCTCAATTTAAAACACTATAACTAAATCTGACATTTTTGTTTACAAAACACATTGGGAGTTTCACGTGTGACTTAGACCTCGACATATCATTTGAATACTGCTCTTAACATGAAAGGAAGCAACATCTTTTGACAGATTTAATGAAACTTTATTATATTCATAGCATTGCCATTGAATGGAAGATACATTTTCTTTTAAAAGGACAAAAAATCACTCAGTAAAATATAAGTTTATGAAATTAGAAAGTGCAGGTATATAATGTGTTGAGATGGCCGATTAATTCAGAAAGGTACTTTGTACTTTAGTTTATATCCTGCACTGCGCAGTCAAGAAATATAATGATAAATTTTCCATTAAAATATAATTTTCTTCATGCAATTGTGGTAATGTTTTGGCAGACACTAACAGCCTAGTACACTGCATGGTTTTTGTAATCAATCATACATGTAAATGACAGGTGTCAACACATTTAAATCAACACTGCGCATTAACATTTCAAATTCATTTATTTTTATGCGTTCTCCATGTAAAATCTCCCTGCCCACTGATCCTGAATTAACTTTAACATTTATACACATAAAAAATCGTTACAATGTTCACAGCCTCGTGCTTAGACAGAAAATACTAATTCATAATTCCAGTTAAAAACTTATTAATTATATCACAGAAACACCAAGATTGGTATTTAATGACTATAGCCAGTATCGATTCTGTAGTCAACACAGTCGGAGATAATTACAACTTTCATTCTAATTGTGTATGATTGAAACTTTCATAGAATTGTCAATACCATGTAGAATACTTTCCAACTATTCCATTTTTATCATAACAGATCAAGCATGTAATACATGCAAATATTATAAATCAGGGAAAAAATCGTCATGACCATATTAATGAAGTTATTGGTAATCTTTAAAATTGCATTCTCCTGACAGTCAATCTATATTAATGTAGTTCTTTTTTATGATTTTTATTGCTTTATATGTAACATTATGTTAATTTCATAGACTACAAAAAGATATATTTACATATTCTCAATATAGTCAACATGCATTTTATTTTTCCTATAAAGTCTTTGGAATGATAAGTAAGTAGTTCTGACATATTTGTCGGATGCATAGAGGTTACTTGGCCAAAGCAGACTTAATAAATGTTGTGTCAATTATCAATGATTAAATTCTTTACAATTTGATGTTAATTTTCAATTTTGAATCCACTATTTTCATAGCTCTTGTCAGTTTGTATGCCTAAAATCTTTGACTTATTCGAAAACTACCCAAAATAGAACCATTTTCCTTTCAAGATAAATATACATATTAAAGCCTCCCTGTACTATAACTTCTATTGACAAATATCACTATTTTTAACTACAAAACTAAATAAAAACTTTACAAGCTGATCCAGAACTAGCTGTGGAACTGTAACTCTTTTGGTCCTTATGGTATTTTTTTTTTTAACAATTTGCGGACCTATGGTTCTATGGTCAACAAAATCATCAAAAAAAAAAAAAAACAACAGAAGGACCACAAGAGCTATGGTTCGGCAGCTAATTCAGCACCAGGAATATTATGATTGGTTATATATTACTTCAAACGGGGCTTGAAGGTTCATTATCCTGACAAGAGAAGGAAACCCCCTGATTTAAATTGTACCCTTATTCACATCAGCAATTTCTACTACATGTATAATAAAAAAAGATAAAAAAAATAGTTAAATTTTATTCTGAAATCTGGCAGCTTTTTGAAACAAAAGGTCCCATAATTTTTCAGTTTCAACATGGCTACTCATTGTATTATTCATATCACTGTGTTACATAAATGAGGTCAAGTGAAATTCAGGAGGTTGAGCAATGATTAATAAGTTGCATCACATTTGTAATTCTGATACACAACAATAAAAATTACATCATACAGTAATTAGACATCTCTCATCGAGTCTATTCAGATGTAAATAATCAGCCGATTACATCAACACACTTGACTCGCTTTAAACAAATAACTAAAAACTGCATTTGAAATTCGCAAAAACAAAACACCATGGAAGAAAGTCTACCAAGACATGTACATGGGTACTAGTTTTTTCAGATAAGAAGCTGGGCCCTTGGTCATACAACTTTACTCTGAACTCCAAGTACAAAATCTGTGCTCAAAACACCAAATCCAGCCTTTTGATTGGTTTAATTCCGAGTCTGAGTACAATAATTCTATTTGAAAGTTTTTCAGACCGTGCGAGGGCTGTATAGCCAGTCAAGGTCGTTAAAAACTCCCATCATCGAAAGTTTTATGACAGTAAGGTCAAGTCTTTTTCAAAAGATATCAGTCATCTCAGAGAATTTAAGTATGTTAGACTAAAGTAGTGCAGCTTGCTAAATATTTTTGTTTATTACATTCAGATTCAGAAATAGATTCTAGTATGAAAAAAGTTGACATTCTGAACTTTAGCACCTTAGAAACTCTTTTTTGATTGATATTGAAATAGCACACTATGCAGCAGCACCTGTAGATTTGTTTTCCACAGAAATGCCAAGATCATTGACAGGTCATTCTCCTAATTATTTAACATTTTCTGTCATGCAAGCTTAAATGTACAGAATAAAAAGAGCCTCATTATACAGAAGTAAAAGTACCCTGACAAAAGACATTAGAAGGTTAATAACTATATAATATTGGGTATTAATACCTTTAATCCAGAATTTTATTTGTCATTTAGACGATATCCTATGCTTCACTTTTGTGAGGAATATATGGAGATTAACAACCAAAAAAATCTCAGTCAAACCGCAAACCTGGAACTTCTTTAAACTTGTACAAAATTTGGATTTTAGTTATCTGATCTTATAATTACAATAATCAAACATCCAAAACTTTGAGGAAGCTGTAATTATTTTTTATTTCACATATAGAAACACATGACAATAAAATTTTACACCTTTAAAATTCATGTACATTACACTTAAATTCAATGGCTGTTTTGGTAAAAATGTTTCACCTGCTTGTCTAAAGTAAGTCTAATAGATTCAGTACCGGTGTGGATACACTGAAATGCCTGAATTAATAATTATGACAGGATAATATTTTAAATGAAATCTTCTTTTACTTACACACCTGAACCTAATTCAGACAGAAATATATGACTACATTGCTTAGATAGAGCAAATATATATATATGAACAAAAGGTGATGTGGCACATAAATCATTGAGACAGCAACCAATCAAAACCAACAAAAAATACATGTTTGCCATCAATACAAGAATGTTTTGACATATTACTTGTTGAACTAATTAATTTCTTTACCACTTAAGCCATTGAAGAATATAGATAAATACTTATTGGAACTGTTTTTTAACTCTCACTTATTTGTTCATGTTCAAACTTTCAAGGAATTTACTTATCAAAATTGCAGTCAACCTGTCATTGCCTTTGTATTTCTTCATTTGATAAACTTTATTTGCTTAAGTTTTTATCGCACATTGTCAAACTTTATTTTGTGTGCTTTATCTCCTTTTAGTAAGCTTTTGATAGAAGGTGAGATTGCGTAGTTTGAAATGTTTTTGTTTAAGTTCTATGTAAATTCTTCTAATTTATTCATCACATTGTACACATTAAGAAATGTACTACTTCTAAAGTAATGTTCTTTATCCATGACTACCCCTAAATTTAAGATTCAATTTTCTTAATGTTTTGAAGATCAAAGAAATTTGATTATCTTTTTAAGCAAAAAATAAGCTTTGCAAGAGACCAAATTATTCTTGAAATGAACGACAAATATTGACATACAGCAGACTTTATTTTTTGTTCACAATATGTATCTATCAAGAAATATTCACGTAATATTTACTCAATCATCATAAAAAAAAAATTACCATTGTTAACCTTCAAATAACAGCATATGATTACCTGTGACTGTCCTAATCACTTTTCTGCAGGTGATTTTTAGAATCAGAGTTGAGATTATCTAAATATTAATCTTGTAGTGACAACAAATACTACTACTTCTAATAGTATCCCTCTCCAAAATATAAAATATTCAATTGTACTTATTGCAGAACTTAACCTTCTCATCTCAATAATAATAGATTTCATAAAATCATTTGCAGATACAATATGACGTTATGTGTTTTTGAGTAAACTGCATTTAAAGTATAGTTCTCAATATAATATAACATTTAATACCAAAGAAGTCATGAGATTACATATGTTATTCTTCAATATCATAACAATTTCACACAAGATTGTAGTGCAATTTTTTCCTCCCAATTTCTATTTCCATTCTTTACAAAAAGGTAAAGTTAAATGATGGGTGTCATGGGTTCGAAAATACCTATTAAGAACAATCCTGATTATCATTTTAAAAATACATGGAAAACTTTTTTTTGACAATTTTTACTGAAATATTATAAAAAAAATAAAATCCTGGATGAAATTAAAGCTCTGTAATTATACTTCAAGAGCTAAAAGAATGAAGAACACAACTGAAAAAAAAAGCCAGTAGCAACGACTTGAACGTAAAAACCTAGATGACAAAATAATAAATTTCACACCACAACTCTACAGCAGTATGGATATTCCTTCATTCAAGTACCTTTATCTTTAAGAAGGAAATGGGAGCATATTTATGCAAGACAATGTTAACTTACCAAACCCTTAGGAGCATTTCTTCTGAAGAACGCTTTACAAGATTCACATGATATGGCGTCAAAGTTGTAACCAAGGGCTTTATCTCCACACACCCCACAGTACTTGTCTTCTTTGTTCTTTCTTGATTTCTGTGAACCCATGTCTGGTGATATATCCATAGGACGGTAGACATTGGCCATGGAGGGCACCCCATTACTATTTGAGTCTTCAAAACTGTAAAAGAGAGTAAGAGAGATTCAGTAAGTAAAATATTACATCAATCTTTTCAAGGTTACTAGCAACCATTCAAGATTTACTGGTTTACTGTCAACTGCAAATGAATGAAATGCACCTGAATATATAAACAAGGAAAATAATGAAACATAAAAAAAATATGTATTTACTGACGAGAATGATTTGTTTAAATGGAAATTAAAAACATTAAACATGTACCGATAAGAACTTGTTTAAACATATGATAAAACTAGAGAACTGTATGTAAAAAAATTGCATGTTATACTTTGGGGGCGTATATCAATAAAAAAAAAAAAATAAAATAATTATTGAAACCTTACCTAAAGATGCTAAATGCTGCCATAACAACATATCAAGTAAAGATTGAAAAATTGGGTGATTCAACTTTGTTTTAGAAGAAATGTGATAATTATTAATCTATACCCAAGAATAGGTAGGTGTGAACTCTCAAGTTAGTGTAAACAGATGGTATAGGATCCTAGTCCAGTATCCAAGATGAAGTACACTTTAGGGAACAACCATTTAACTTCAAAGGGGGAGTTCAAGGCGGGCAGGACTATATTTTTTTTATATTGGTTTGATTTTTTTTACTACAGATGGACAATTTTTTTTAGCTACAATATCAAACCAAATCATTTTTTTCATACTGAGTCGAAACAGAATATTTATTTTACAATGCTCATGCAGTAAAAGGTGTCTGTATTCATATGAAATCACTAGCAGTAAATATAGCTTTTAGTGGTATAAATAGTGGTGGATATTCATAAGACAGCCATACCTTGTGTTGAATGGTTGATATCAAAAGTAGGGTAGTTTTAAGAATAGAAAAGAGTAAAAATAATATTCTTGAAAGATTACAAACTGAAAGATAAAAATTGAAATCATACTCTGGAAAAATAGACAGATGATTTTAGTAATTTCAATTAAGGTAACTTCTTGTAGTTTTATATATACCATAATTGCTTGTAAGATCGGTCTTTAACCTCATTTCATGTATTCACCTTGTTTTTATACAGTAACGGTATTTCAATTTGTTTAACACAACCATTACATTAGCTCAGACATATTCAAATTAAGTCAACACACTTTTAGTATTCCTTACATTATTTCTGTCTATCAAGAAATTTTAATGTTCAATGAGATAACTCTATTGGCAATTTTTTCTTCCCTAAATTAGGTATTTCAAACCCGTGATGTATTTTACATGAGTAACACAGTACGTGTCACTAGTGGAGCATGAACTTCTGACCTTTCTGTAGCATCAGAGTTCACCCCTGGTTTTTGGTTGGGTTTGTGTTGCTCAATTGTGTGTATGTAGTGCTTTGAAGAATTTTGTTTTGTCTTTCTTGGTAACGATTTTGACTGTTTTGTGTAGTGCTTTCAATACTTTTGGTTTGTCTTTCTTGGTCATGGTTTTGACTGTTTTGTGTAGTGCTTTGAAGAATTTTGTTTGTCTTTCTTGGTCATGGTTTTGACTGTTTTGTGTAGTGCTTTGAATACTTTTGTTTTGTCTTTCTTGGTCATGATTTTGACTGTTTTGTGTAGTGCTTTGTAGACTTTTGTTTGTCTTTCTTGGTCATGGTTTTGACTGTTTTGTGTAGCGTTTTGAAGACTTTTGTTTTGTAATGGTTTTGACTGTTTTGAAGACTTTTGTTTTTGTCTTTCTTGGTCATGATTTTGACTGTTTTTCTTCCGACTCTTGATTTTTTTTGTCTCCTTGGTATATACACTCTCTCTGATGCATCAACCATGCAAAAGAAAATAATGAACATTTATTCTCAGATGCCTTGAAGATATAGAAATAATGAACCTGACCTAGAATTTTTTTTCAGTTTTATATGCTTTAAAAGACTTGAATTACTTCATGTCAATGAATTGTAAGATCAATTGAACGATTGCTTTTTACAAATTGTAACTTTTTATTTTAGAAAATGATTTTAAGTTACTTCATTACAGAAGCAGGAAATCAATATCATCTTTACCACCTTTATACATATTGATTTCTGGCACTGATTGATATGTGAAATTATTTTTCTACATGAATGTTTACAAATAAAGACCTGAAGTTATCTCCCTTTTAATAAACAACCCATACAGAAAATGTACTGAATGACCCTCTGTCCTACTTCAATTAAAGCCACAACTATTGGTAGAAGTATTAATACAACTTTACACTCCCTGTTCAGTGATTTATCAAGTTTAAAGTACAATATGACTGATAAAACGAAAAACAAAATACTGAATATTTAACACATTTTCTTTCTTTAGCATCCTGTTTGCATTTATCTAACAAATTGTACATTGATGTCTATATATATTTTATTGACTTTAAGTATTATCCATTTCTGACTAAAATGTTGATGACTTCTATTAAACTAACAAATGTTCTCTGTTTTTCTATTTATTGGCAAGAACTAAAAGAGTTCACCTGGTACAATGTTAAATTTCTTCACTAAATTGCTTTTCACATGAAAGTAGCATTTATGTAATTGCAGTAGATTTTTGTTGCCACATCTGGAAGATAACGATTCCATTAGAACAAATAAATTACTTTTTCTGTTATACACATCTACACCTGATTCCAATAAACATTCTTTGGAGCAAGATATCTTCTTTTTAATTTTTTTTTGATGATGAGCCTTCATTGCAAAAAAACTGAAGTAAAATAAATTGGAATTTTAGTTAAATGGTCCTGACATTATTATTTCTATGTATTGAAGTAAGATGGGAACCAGTTTTATTTATTGCGGCTCTTTTAAAGCTGAATAATGATAATAATAATAATGAAAACAACAATATTTCTGCTAAATGGTCCAACAAATCTGGATTGGTAGGAAGGCAAGAAGATGTTCTCTCTACATTTTACAGGGGATATATCTAAATATATGTGTTCAAAAATGTTCAAAACAACTTCATAGTGGCAAAATAGGGCCACATATTTTATAGACTTGAAAACCATGTGGGTAAAGGGTGTATGGATCAACTTTGATTTAGAAATGGCTTCAATTTTTGAAAGTTATGATTTATTGAAGTTGATGTTCCATGTGGTTTCATGCCACTAATAAAGCAAAGCATTGTGGTTACAAGAATAACTAGAAATGATTTGTGGCTTTTGTGGTTTTGCTATGCTTTGAGGGAAGAGTAAGCATCAATGGAAAACAAATTTAGACAAATTTTATTCTAAGTTTCTAACATACATTTAGTTTCCATAAAGAATTATTTTGTCCCATAACCTTTAAATATCCTATTGGAGAAGTTTGTTTTCCTCTCAACTTTTGATTTCTTAAGTTATATACAGGCAATATATTCAATACGAAAAGGAAAATTAAGATTCTTTAAAAAAAAAACAAAAAAAAACAGACAGAAACAATTAAGATAAAGATGATTCCATTAAAACCAGGAAACTATAGTTTTTATATTATGATCAATTAAAAGATGTGAAGAATTCTGCTTCAACAAATTCATAAAGCAGACTTGAACAATATCTAATAACTAAAAAATTCCTGCTGTGCAGAAATCTATAGCTTCAACATATGGTTTTGAAATAATCATAAAATATAATTGGTGATATTAATATGGAAAATAAGAGGGGCCTCGGTGATCCATGAGAGTTGTATTATATACCAACACATATGAATGCCATTTTCTAATCAGGATAAAAACACAAACACCATCTAATTGGCAAGAAAAAAAGTAAAGCTTTTGACTAAGCATGTGAAAATACAAGAAAATATCCTTAGAAATTATCAGCTTAGACAAATTAGCAGTATTCTGTAAACCTCTGATGATAGAGCAACATGACCTCAAAAAACAGATGGTAAACGAGTTAATACAGCGCAAGTTAAGATTTGTGCAAATTGATTTAATAATAAAATATATAAATTGTTTGTTTTAAAAATAATGATGTTTAACATTCAGCCATTCTACATTTAGATAGTCCCCCCCTTCTAAGTCTATGAGTGCTCTGACAGCCTAATCTGTATGAATTGCTGGGGCCATGAACGGCCCTTTTTATGACTTCCAGGAGTGGCGGCCCTAACAAGTTTATAAAAAAGGTGTTCATACGTCCAAGCAATCTCCAAATATGTTTTCCCTTTTAATCTGTATGAATCTTAATCGTCATTTTTCAGGGATATAATTTTCAGATTCTCTGTACCCCCATCATTTAGAAATTTCTCTACAAGGCCATCTTCAAGTTACCAGTATGTGACAGCAACTCAAAAACCTTCTTAGAGAAAGTAAGAATCAAACATCCCAAAGAGAGCAAAACTAGGAAATCTCAGATGGGTAAGATATTCTGTCTGTGATGGGACTAATCAAGAGTTAAGGATATGAGAGGAAATCTTAACTGGCGGTGTCTAAAATCTTGCATTCTTGTCAGTGTTTGAACTTTTTCTAACTTTTGATGGATTCATAACATTCAAATATCATAGGAAGAGATGGGTGGGTGTCTATTGGCTTTCCCAGAAAGATGTACAAGACAAAAGACTAAGAAAATCTCAACCATTAACAACTGTACCAACAACAGTGTGAGAAATAAACTTATTAATCTATAGCTTTTAGTGAATATTTTCTGTCTAAAACTTATGTGAGACAAGGCTAATTTTTCCTTACAAAAAAATTGAAAATATATCCTTTTTTCATTATTTCTTTAATGTATTCTGTAATACCATATCAAACAATCTTACATTTATAATAAAAGTATGAATTGCAATCTACATTAAACTGTACTGCATATATACTCTTATGCTGTCTCTTAAAAGGGAGGTAACCTGTTGATGTATGGGTTAATTTTAGTTTGAAGTGAAACTGGTGAGTAAAAGAACACTTTGGAGTCAATTATCTCAATCTCTGACAAGTTTTAGAGAGACATAGATCTTACCTTAAAAGTCTTGATATTTAGTCTTGATATTTCTTTACCTTAAAAGTCTTGACATTTCCTGACCTTAAAAATCTTTTGTCCATTGGAAGTTATACAT